GTCCTTTGGGGCTTCCAAAGGAGAAAGCTTTCGTCTTACGCCCGATCGTCAGCTTCCATGGTGGAAAGAGGGCAAGACTTGCACATGAATCCGGCCTCTTTTGTCGGGGCCGTTGTTTGGCTACAAGATGTCCTTAAAGGCCAAACCCGAATCCCGACCCAACTCTGCACAAACCCTACCCCCCCCAACTACCCTTTCGCCAGGCTTCCTGTCCCGACCTTGAGGCAAGAAAGACTGGGAGAGAGACTGAATCCAGTGCCCATTTCCGCAGAAAGTGGCGGGGCCAAATGAACCATGAGACCACGAGTACTAGTGTCCATAGCTCATGTCAGTGTTGATGTTTGTAGCCTGAGTAGAGCTCGGCTGCGTGTCAAGACTGGCTGTTCTTCACCAAATGCCAATCTCGTTTGTGGGGCTGGGGCGAGGTGAATTTGTCCCTAGGTGTTATTTGGTTATTAACTGTGGTTGGTCGCTTGTCGGTTGGTCAGTTGGTCGCTTGGTTGGTGGATCCGCCGGTGGCTCAGTTTGTCGGTCAGTCCAGCAGTCAGTCGGTTGGTCGGCCGTTGGTTGGTTGGGGGGTACGGCAGCAGCAGCATCATCATCATCATGTTATTTTATTTTGATTACTATTAATTATTAATCGTTTATCGTCTTCAGCTTCATCTTCTTCTGCTTCATTTTTTTCTGCTTCATCATCTTCTGCTTCATCATCTTCTGCTTCATCATGGTCATCATCGTCACCATCGTCACCATCATCACCATCATCACCATCATCACCATCATCATCATCATCATCATCATCGTCATCATGACTAGTTGGGTGCTGATCTCCACGTGAGCGACAAGTCACATCTTCTTTTGGGGGCTGAGCGGACTTCGAGCTGAAGTCCAATCCAAGACCCATGGTGATCTCTTCTCACCCCACGCTGTCAGCAGTGGGGGCACTGACCAAAAATGTCGCAGGCAGCGCAACGCTCTTGAGCAAGTTCATGCCCTGACTGCATAGTGCTCGATTCTGCAGGGGTTCCTCCATTGGATCCCACGAGTGAGCCTTTGAAAAGGAAATCGAGTCAACCCTGAGCCGGAATTCGGTCGCATGCCCCGTGCCATTTGTGCACTGCACGAGAAACCTGCATCGACCACGGCTTTCTTGGGGTACAAGATCCCGTTGAAGCCTCGGCGAAGCTGCAGGCCTACAGGCAGAGAGGCCACGGCACCAATGCCGCAGGTAGGCGTTCTACAGTTGCACGTGTGCGTATGAATAAATAGTTTTATACATGCATGCCAATACATGCATGTAAAATATCTTAATGTGCATAGTGTGTACATATATATATATATATATATATACATATATATATATTAATATGTATGCAACCCTCCCGGATGGATCTACCTATTTGCTGTTTGAAGGCTATTTTGGAATGCAGTCGGGTTTATTTGGAATGCCCCATGCGACTTGACCAGCATCAGCTCACCCTAAACAAGGAAATCCTCTTCAGATTCTAATTTGGAAAACCAATTTCAATTGTGTGTTGTTTTTTTGAGAAGGACTTCCAATTTAAACCATCTTAAAATTAAAAATTATACTAGAATTATTTCCTTATTGGGTTTCAGTTAATTCTAAATCGAAGGTGGTTCCAGGAAACGGACGTTATCTCTAATATGTATACATATTATATATATATATATATATATATATATGTATGTATGTATGTATATGTATACATATGTGTATATATATATTTGAATTAAGAATCCCAATTAACCATGTTCTTCAATATGGCAATCCTATTCAAATCATTGCTAAGTGTAGACATCATATTAGGTGTTGTTCACTTTTGATGTCTATGTCTGTTCTGGTTAGACAGTTGAACCAATCATCATGGGAAAATACATTTAGTTGAACATCTACTTTCAAATAACAACTCCAATGAATGAAAACAGTCTTTTGAGCAAAACTATGTAAATTATTCTTAGAACTGGACATTATATCAAAATTATTATCCTTATTAAATTCTATTGAACATATGCCGATATGTGAACTAGTTTGAGCATCCAGTTTCAATTAAGAGTATTGATTACACATCTTGTTCGACAAGGAAATCCTACTTAAATTATCTTCAAGCTAGAAAGTCTACTAGGGTTTGTTCCTTATCAAATTCCATTTCAATTCTATTTACAAAATTGAACACACACACACACACCATCCTAGAAACATATCCCCTTTAAATGCATCTTTCAAATCTGTTTGAGACAAGAACTCTAATTGGTGCTTGATGTTAATCCTTATGTAATACTTTGAATTCCAAGCAAAAAGCCAAACAAAAACAACACACATGGAGTTTATTTGACCAAAATCATGTGTTCAATGAAACTCATGAACAAACACCTACGAGAAATGGGTCCGATTCCTATAAACGTGAGTCAATAAACCCCAAACCCTACACCCTAAACCTGTCCATGCTAAGCTGAGGTTTGGTCAGAAGATGCAAAACAGCAGCTATGTTGGAGCCAATGGCCAAAAAGTGAAAACGTAGAAAAGCAACATTATGGAGCCAATAGCTCAAAAGTAAAAGCGTAAAGTTCTGGAGCCAATGACCCAACAGTAAGACACTGCAAACAACTGGAGCCAGAGAAAAAGTCAATTTCTGGAGCCAATGACCCAAAAGTAAAAATGAAAAATAAGAGAGAAACAACAGCAAAGAAAAATAAAAACACGTAAAACAAGCACAATAAGTAAAAGTAAAAACGTAAAACAAGTCAGCCCATGGTCCTGAAGTAAAATGCTTTGACCATGGACTGAAATATGTTTTTGTGGTGTGTTTTTTTCTTTTTACTGTGTTTTACGCTTTCTTTCTTTCTTTCTTTCTTTCTTTTTAACCTTGTTTTCACTTTTGGGTCATTGACCCCAGACGTTTACTTTTTAACAATGTTCTTTTGGGTCATTGGCTCCATATTTGTACTTCTTTACGTTTTTACTTTTGGGCCAATGGCTTCAACATAGCTGTTGTTTTGCATCTTCTGACCAAGCCTCAGCTTGGAAATAGGACAGCGGTAGATCAACACCAACTGGATTCAAGATTCTCTGGAACAGTTTGGCCTAAAGCTTTCAGACAGTCTTTGGACATGCGCCTCTTCTTGTTGCTTTCCCCAAAGCCCCAAAAAGGGCAGAAACCACTGCACATACCAGTGAATTCTGAAGGAAGGTAGATCCATGGGGGGGGATAACATATATGAATATATAGGTATAGAGTAGTATATATATACATATATATATATATATAGATGCATATACACCGTAGTTTTGAAACACCGCATTTACTCTGATTTGGTATGCTGCCTGTCAGTGCCTGGATGCTTCACTTTAGTTTTGACAATTCGACCGGCCTCATGGCGAAGAACACCAGAGGCTTTGCAAGTCCCAGCGACTGATTGCGCTGCATAGGTTGTGCGATTAGGGCTCCTGCTTTTAAATGCATCCACTTCAGACATGGAATTTGACGCATATGTGTTTCAAGTCGGGCTCTGAGTGGGATGCAACACTGGAGCGCTGAATCGCGCGGGTTCACGCGACTCGAGCTCCGGCCGATTTTCGCCGGGTGAATTTGCGGCGACCCCGGGCTGCCCTGTGTCGGCCGTTGGAGCGCCAAGATTTCGTGTGGCCATGGAAGGGATGTGGCAGGGTTGGGACCATGTCTTGCGGATGAATCCGTCATAGGGGTTCCGCTTTCAACCAGCGGTATCACAGGCAAGTCCCACCCCATGCACATAGGTAGGCTGGGCCTCGTCGACATTTAAGCCGTGCAAATCAGAAAGCTGAAGCCTGGGGGAAGCAGACCCGCCAGACAAAAGGAAAGGAACACAAATCAACTTGGGGATCATCATAAATAGCCCGTCATGTTTGGGTTTTGGTGGAAAGCTATGCAGTTCTTGCGGCTGATTTATATGTCATGTATAGGGTTGAGATGGGTTGAGTGGAAAGCAACCCCGGTTCTTGCGGCTCAGATGATTTTCAGGCGAGTCGAGGCCCAAAACGCATAGGTCACCATGGCTGGCTGATGCGTGGTGCGTATCTCACACTCCGAATTGAGCAGCCGAAACCTCTGGCCATTTGTAGCTTGGTTTTTATTGCGGAGAGGACTGGGTGTTGGTTGCCCGCTGTTCAAGGTCGCAAGCCCGAGAACTTGCGTAGACCTCCACCAGGGAGAAGACATTCTAGGTGGGGCATGAGTATCCAAGCCGTGATGGCTAGAACCCATACCGAAGCCGTGAACAGAAAAGAAGTGCGGATATCTCTTCGAGGGGCCTGACTTCTGACTGTCCAGGACATGTCTTTTTTTTGGTCGGGGCATTTTGGTGGGCCACTTTCTGCGATACAGCCGGGCCTGGGGGCTGCGCAAGTGGCAAGCGGGGGGTTATTTTGTTTCTCCGGCTGAAGGCAGCCCTAAACTTAGCTTTGGGAGGCGTGAGTCTGGAGGGTCCTTGTGGTTTCCCGTGGGCCAGCCTGAAAAGGCTACTCAAAAATGCACACCCATGTGGGGAATCCACAGAGCGCAGTGAACCGTACTCCATGCCAGAGACAAGCGCCGGAAGTTTCGGGGATGTGCCACACGGTGCAAACAGATGGCTCAAATCATTCATGAATCTAAACCCCGTTACAAGGATCTAACTCGGCCGGAATAAACTGCTGACCCGAAAATATCACCAGCCATCTCGCCATCTCATTGCCAGGGTCCAACCAATGCGTTTGAAGTAACCAATGGATGTACCACCCCCTTTCTGACCATTGGCTCGTTGGGATCCAAGAGTCCTGGGTGTCAGGAGGAGCCTAGGGCGCGCCTCTGGGGGCAAAAAAAATGAATAGTGTTCGGATCCATTTGTCGGTGTTCATGAACATCAACCCGGAGAACAACTTGGATAGACGTATACCGTATACTGTAATTGCGTGAGTCCGAAATGGCTATGACAGCCAAAAACGATCATACCCACGGCAACGACGATCTGCGTGGATTTTCATAGGTCCCACCTCTCCCCATGGCGACGCCATCCATGGCGGCGAATGCACGCCGAGACGGGCGTCAGGCAGGGTGGGTTTGCCGTGAAGCGGACGGACAACTTCCTTTCGTTTTTTTCTTACTTGGACGAAACCTCCGGCTTGTCTCAAACCTAGTTGGAACCCAGTACTACTGCCCTCAGGCCAGTTCGATTCTCGAGTTGTCCTTGTCAAACGCTGATGTTCTGAATAGACCCTAGCTTTGAGATTCAGAAACCCGATGGATCGGATGCAAGCCATGGGCAATCCGGGCGTTTCCCCTCATGCGTTGTTCCAAGGGCGGGACGCCTTTCAAAGTGGCACATGGGGTCGGGAAACAACCACCAAAAAAGCTGATGAAAACTCCCCCTTTTAAAGTTACTTGGACAAATCATCTAGTAGCCGGACTGGTCTTGCAGCCAGAACACTCCGAGCTACGCCAGCCTTTTCGGTTTCCATTAAACAGGGCTAGGGTTCGGCGAGGGGCGGGAGATACTGTAGATGATTAACGATCCTGATGGCTGTGCCTCTACATAGGGAACCCCCTCGAAAACAAAAGGAGCAGTTTCCCTGTTTTTTTCCCGGAAAGCCCAACATAAAGCCCCTGCCACGAACATGGCGCATGGAGGGTACCTGTGAGATGAATCTCCTCTGGCCAGGGCAACCAGCTGCGCCCGCCCGCCATGGACCTGCGCCCGCTGCTGCGCGCGGACGGCTCCGCGCGGTTCCGCTTCGGGGACTCCGCGGCACCCTGGCAAAAAAATGGCATGGGTCAAAATTAAGCCACCAGGATATGGACCGCAGGTTTTAGTCCTTCTTTCCATTTACAAGGGTTTCATTTGGGATACCTATTCTTGACCCACAGCCAAATGGCTCGGTACCAAGAGGGCGAAGTCCGCTTTTGGGGGGTCGTCGGATTTTCGACGCGCAGTACTTTGATGATCATGAATGCTGACCGCCGGGAGCCAGCTACGTTAGCCCAGTCAACCTCTACTTAACCGCTTTTGAAACCGATGCAAGTGGGGTTAACGTCGTTGACTTCAGGTCGTGATTATCTTGCTGGGCTTTTCCGCTCCAATGAATCTGAATGATCCCAGTCGATCTAGTCGGGCTCCTCAGCCCTTCACCCAGCAGATTTTCATACAACTATACGGGGGTGTGCGCCCCTCTGTCCCGCGGACGTTTAGACTCCATGTTGAAGGCCCGAAACCCAAACAAGTTGCCCCCAAGAAGATGGTTGCAATTCCATCAACCACTACAACCGGCTCGACATGATTCTTTGAGTGACCTCTTTCGGGCCATTCTGGGGGGTTGAATTTGACTGCTACTGGGGGCCCAGCGGGGGCTTGGTTCCCTTGTTTTCCAGATGGTGACCATGTTACATGTTGTAGCAGGCTAAATATGAAACAGAACCTGAACCCTTTTTGCTGTGTATCCTGGGCGAAGAAATAACCACTAGCTTGCTGCTTCCACGATGACGGGGAGCCCGAGAAATGTCTTGAGGGTAGCTTTGGGGTTGAAACATTCAAGCTGGTCCCACCTACAAAGCCAACCTAAAGGATTTTTGAACCTAAAAGCCAATTCCAACCTACAAAGTCATTTTGTTGGGATCCAACCTACAAAAAAGGACCCGCCCATCAACGGCCCCCCCGGGTTTTTTTGGGATCCAGGTGGTGGCGGCGGTCTTCGGGCCCCGCGAGCCTCGGTCTCGGCACCGGGAACTCTTCGACCGCGCCACGACGCTTGGCCGGTGGGCGTCGGCGTGTCGTCGTTTTTTGTTGTTTTTTTCCCCCCGAGGACCCTCGAAAGTTGTTTTTTTGTTTCCTGTTTTTTTTCTTCTTCTTTTTCCCGGGGTACCTCAATTACGGTTGCCGCTTGTTGTTGTTCCATCCAAACTGCAAAAAGAAGGGGACATGCATATCCGATACAGGACGGCCCAAAACATGTCTGACAATATTCATGTTTCATTGAGAAGGCACTCTGCAGACCAGCAGAAGAGAAATTGCACAAGAGTCCAAAACCATGATTGAGAAGTACACCAATGTACACCCGTTGTGCAGAGGTGTACCCATTGAGCAAGACAAAGACGATACACATATCCGCAAAGCGGCTTCACCGGCACCCATAGTGCAACTGATACGCCAGCCGATGCCAGACTGATAGGGTGAGCGATACGCTTAGTAGTTCTAGGTGGCCAGGAGCCCATTAAGTTTGGCTTGTTTTGCCGTTGGGTTCTTGGTTGGTATTTCGCAAGAAAGGGCGGGCGGCTCTTTGGTTTTGTGTACTTCCTGTACTCCACCGGAGCCCAAGTAAAACACCTCGAACTGCTTTAGAGACACTTGGAGATTTGGTCCTTGGCAGAAACCAGTCGGAGTTGCTAGGGCGACATGTCCTTCACCTAAGAAACCCAAGGGAAGTTCGATTCGAGTTCTCTGCCAATGCCAACAAACCATGGCGAAAACCCGTGCAGCAATGCACAGGGAAAAGTTTTTTGGTCCATCCCACGTCTCGTCTCTCGTCTCTCGAGGCTGGAGATCGTGGTGCGGCCTGCTGTCGGCATCCCTGGACCCAAGGAGCGGCAGATGGAGGCAAAGAGAGCAGACTCTGGGTGTGTCATTCGAGCTTGGGCCCACCACGGGCCCACCAGTTTTTTTCCCCGGTTTGCCATGTGGCGTCCCATGGACCCACCATGTCTTTTTTGTCCCCACCCGACAGGAAGGGGTTGTTAGATTTTATGTTGGAATCCGCGTTTGCCCCACCCAGTATCCCGCCAGAGCAGCTCGCCAGTGGATCCCGCCGAGTATCCCGCCAGAGCTACTCGCCAGTGCATCCCGCCGAGTATCCCGTCAGAGCGGCTCGCCAGTGGATGAACTGATGGCGTTGTTACTGCATCAGTCTCGGACCACGCTTTTGCGTTTGGAGCTTGAGGTTGAGGCGTGCGAATACTGTGGACCCTTTTAATGCCCAAATTGGGCGCGGAGCTCTAACAGGTTCTGAGCCCAAGACCTCGCTCCATTGCGCCATGGAAGTGCTGAAGAGGAGGCGAACCGGCCGGGTAAGCCCTGGCAGAGAGGCCGGGGAAGGGCCAGTGGATCCTGCCGAGTATCCCGCCAGAGTGGCTCGCCAGTGGATCCGCCAGAGCTGGCCAGTGGATCGCCCAGTATCCCGGGAGAGCTGCTCGCCAGTGGATCCCGCCGAGTATCCCGCTACGCTAGCCAGTGGATCCCGCCGAGTATCCCGCCAGAGCGGCTCGCCAGTGGATCCCGCCAAGTCCCGCCAGAGCGGCTCGCCAGTGGATCCCGCCGAGTATCCCACCAGAGCAGCCCGCCAGTGGATCCCGCCGAGTATCCTGCTGAGTATCCCAGAGCAGCTCGCCAGTGGATCCCGCCGAGTATCCTGCTACGCTAGCCAGTCGATCCCGCCGAGTATTCCACGAGAGCATCCCGCCAGTGGATCCCGCCGAGTATCCCGCTGAGCCAGTGGATCCCGCCGAGATCCCGCTGATTCCCCCTTGCCGGTGGATCCTGCCAAGTATCTCCGGCCAGTATCGAGCTGGAGCGGCTCGCCAGTATTCGCCAGTGGATCCCGCCAGTATCCCGCCAGAGCAGCTCGCCAGTTTGGTTTTGCTTAGTGTCCCGCCCGGCGCACAGTTGGGTTTGCATTTGATGTTGGTGCCTTCGTGCTTTGAGTGTACCCTGAGGCTCGGAAAGGGTGATTCCTTTGTGTTGCTTGGGGCTGCGAATAAGCAAATTCGTTTAATCCCCCATCGGTTATTTTTTGGAAGGGGCTTGGCTTTTGTTAACGGAACCGATGTTTGAGTTCTCGAGATCGGCTCGCAGACAAGTGGAAGTGGCCGGTGGGAAGGGAAGGTGCCGATGGGAATTTGGAGTCGAAGCCTCTAGGGTACGGAGGAATTTGTTGTAACGGTCGTAAGCTCGTGAGTTTGGAGGGTGGGGATTGTTCGAAGCGATTTTTTTTCTGGTCTTTCTTTCTTTTGGCTTCACTTTTAGAACCGCAGAAAAACAGGGAAAACCTATTTTAAAAAAAACGCACCCCGTGTGGATGGACCATCTCCTGCACCATATGCCATGGAAGCCTGCGAAATACCTAGAGATTCGTTGCGGCAGAAATTTATGCCGCAAATCAAAAAAGGCGCATTTTTGGATTTGCGGCATTTCTTCCTGATTTGCGGCGTTTTTTAAGAATTGCGGCAGAACTTGTTTTCAGGTTTTTTCTACCCCCCGATTTGCGGCGGAAATCGGCGGGAATGCGGCGGAAATCGGCGGGAATGCGGCGGAAATTCCCGGAAAGCAAGCAGAGTTGCGGCGTTTTTGTTTTGGTTGTGGCGTTTTTCTTTGTTTGCGGCTGATTTTCTGGAATGCGGCGGGAATTTTCGCCGCAATGCGTTGCGGCAGAAATTTCCGCCGCAGGAAGTTCTAGGTATTGGGATACAGCACCTATCGATTCATTAGATATTAGCTGGTGCGCCATGCGCAGTAGGGCACTCACCTACCCACGGGTAGAAGCAACACACCGTTTCATGTTGTTTGGTTTTGATCTTTGCCACCCCCAGGTTCGGGCCTCCGTTCCCGTTGATCACATGCATGTTCTTTCTTGGCGGTGTTCTGGAGCCACCGTGGCCCCAAATTCTTCCGTTTGAAGAAAGGCTCAGGAGCGGTGCTGTCAAAAGGGATCCCGTGTGAAAACACCCTTGGCTCGGCCGACTCTAAGTCACCTGAGAAGGGAACAGCTTTGCTAGAGACTTTGGTGTTTGGGCGCGAAACCTATCCGAAGTTGGGTAGACAAATCCCCCGAGACAAACCGCTTCCAATGTTGACCTTTCTGGTGGGCTCCAAGCAGTCAATGTCCAAGGCACGTACCTGAAGGTGCAAGTGGCAACGGAACATGGCAGGCAAGTTCCAGTCGAACGGGACCGATTTTCTCTAAAAGGACACAGCAGGAAACATGAGCATTTGATTACCTTCCATCTCTCCAAGCTTACAACAAGCCGCACGCTTACAGCACCCAACGGAGTGCTGCACGAGTTGGATCCACCTTCCCGGTCCCGTTAAATCCGAAGCTACCATTAGGCAAAGCTGCTTCTGTTGCTGGCATTTTGTCGGAGCCATACCGATGTCGTTGCCTGCTCGCAAGGCACATCTGGCGAGACAGCTCGAGCACGATGCTTGTTTGAACGTGCGAACGCACGGACTCCGTAAGCCGAAAGTTTCTTAAAGCTCACTGAGGGCTGGGTATGCTAAGGGTCCTGATGGACTTTGGGGCTCCAACAAACTTGTTTTGAGACCCCAGGCCCTCCAAATGAATCCCCGACCGCACCGTTTGGGTACTTGGTAGGTGGTTGCCAAGAATTGCCAGTCCCCTGTATCCCGTCCCCCATAGTCAGCCAAGTGGGAACCATTGTGACTACGCAAAGTGCCCTGGCCCTTCGAGTTGTCAAAGTTCACGGTCCCATTTTGGTTTTGGAGACTCCTGGTGCTTTTCAGCGAGATCGCAAGGGGATGTCCGGTTTGTTGACCCAAAGTTAGGAAGGAGTCCGGCAAGTCCATGGCGGAACTGACCGTTTCTAGGGGTTAGCCAAAAGGAAATCCAGCATTTACTGAAAGGGCTCCCTTTTCCAGAACAGGCCTGATGGGCCAATGACTTTTAAGGGACCTATTGAGGATACAGGTTACTCGGACCATAGAACTGTATGTATGACTGTATCAATAATTTTATGACTGTATCAATAACTTTGCCATGCTAAATTTGCTTTCGAGGCAGAGTCCGATGGACTACCTGCCCAGAGAAGTAGTGTTGGCACGACGTGATGGTGAACCTACATCACAGTTCCGGATCCTCTGAACAAGTGAGTTGTGCGCCGCTGCAGTGCACATGAAGGCGAGGATCACTCGAGATCACCGTGCTCATGCCCAAATTCTAACCAGCTTCGCAGTTGCCGATGTTCTGTGAGTTTGGAATGTCGTTCAAACCTTCATCAACGTCCTCTAGGACCATGCCGCTAAATTGGTGTGGCCAACAGGGATTGGGCGTTTGCGGAGCTTTTTTTGTGCCGATGATTTGAAAGCGCCGGCGCCCGCCCAAGCAAGGTTCCCCTTTAAGTTTATAGATAGACAAACGAAAGGCGCGCCTGATGTGCGGGCTTCCTCTTGTTGTGTTGAACCTGTCCCAGGTGGACAAAGGATTGTGCTCCTTTAGACATCAGCGCCGTGTTTCGATCTGACAAGCAAGCCGAGGTGGTCCTTAGTACCGAGTACCCGCGCACCCAGATCTCAGATGCTTGGTCAAGCAGATATCGACTTTGAGGTCCCCAAGCTCCCTTCTTGTTGGTTTGAAGGGAAATCCGGGATATCATGAGGGATGCAGACTGCAAGCTCATGAGTTTTGGTGGTTTGGCATGACTTCTTTTGAGCAACCACTTGACCCATTTGCCATCTTAGAGCTCCCCACAAAGGAACCCCCTTGAAACAAATCGGGCTTTCTTTCTCCCATTGAGAGTTAGCATGATCCTTGCCTTCAAAGGGAAATAGGATTTTTGCCTCACTGTTCTTGTGTTGTTCAGCTTGTGGATTCTTGGGTTCTAGTCATTGCATTTTCGGCCGTTCCCCAGCGTCAGTCCGACGCTATGGGTTCTGGGAGGACATTCTCCACCCTGGAAACGAGAAAAATGAGACAACTTCCGCGCCAAGTGTTTAGGTACATCTGTGATCTCTCACTCGTTCTATTGCTGCGTTCATGAAAAAAACACTTTAAAGAAAACAAATGCAGGGCTTCGATTCTCCCTATGTGTCCCATTGGTCAGCATCACTCTTTGATTCCGTTGGAAAGGGATTTTCCTGGTGGGTGATATTGAAAGGGGAAACGTACTTTGATGCGATTTAGCTCTTAAGTTTCCGGCAAGTTGTGTCTTTCACATCAACAAGCTCGGCAATAGCCAAGCTGGTTCTCATGCCTCAAACATCTCTTTTCGGCTTTTCCCTGCTGGCGCTTAGGGAATGTGGGAATGAACCTGGGAATTGCCTTGAAGGAGACCAAATCAGGGAAGGTTTTTCTCAGGGTTCCATTTCTCAGGGTGCCCAAAGACCAATCGCACTGGTTGCAAGTCATCCCCTTTGGTCCATTTTCATGGCCCCCAAAGGTGATCACCTCTTCATTTTCTGGATCTTTTGGGGAGGTTTTTTTTTTTTGGCGCCAAAGGAATCCCTCGCCCGGGTCCTCCCATGGCACAAGAACGGTTGAACCAATGGCGTGTGCAACTCAATCATAGTTCCACGCCACCCAACAAAACGTCCCTTTTCCTCAAATAGATCCTCCGAGTGTTCCCCAAACCCGGCTCAGTCCCTTCGTGGGAAAAAGAAAACCGCGTGTTCCGAATTTCTGCGTGGGACAAATCAGAAAACCGCGATCGATCGATCGACCGCGATCGATCCCTCGAGGTGGTGGTGCAGCTTAGCAGCTGCGACGGCTCGGTGGCGGCCTGCGCCGCCAACGCCGCGGCGCTGGCGCTGCTGGACGCCGGGGTGGCCATGCGCGCCACCGCGCTCAGCGTGGCCGTGGCGGCGCCTCCGTTTTGCTCGTTTTTGGCGCCCTCAAATCCCCCCCTCAACCCCCCCCCCCGAAAAGTTTTTTTTTTTTGTGGTTTCTGCTGGCTAAACTAAGGATTGTCGCATGGCCATGGCCAACCAAACCTTGATATATATGAAGCTCAACCCTCCTGCGAACCATCTAAGCAGGGGGCTGCCGCAGTTCCCATTTCTTACCCATCGAACATGTCCTTTGTGGATTGCTTTGTTGTTTTGTATCAGTGGGGGTTTAGATGTGCGGTATTGGCGGCTGGGGGTTAGATTGGTCGTTTGGATTGATATGTGGGGGGGGGGGGAGGATTGCTGGTTTGGGGGTGTGGTTTAGATTGGTGGCTGAAATAAGCAGCCGAAGGTTCCTGGCAGTAAAAGGGATGCTAGACAATCAGGTCTTGCGTGTTGATCATGAAGATCGCGTCTGGAGGGGGCTGTCTGAAGGAAAAAAGATCAATCAATCCCATTCATACGGACCAGTTTCCCCTTGGTTGTCCACGATTCTCGGCTTCCCCAACTCGGTGGTTTGGGTTGGTTGGGCTTGGAGGGTAGCCTCCTAGGCTTCAGGAAGAACCATTGGGGTTTGTGCACATGGCTTTTGCACAGGAGAGCCCAAAAACCCTCATTGGCCGTTTTACTAGGTCTAGGACTTCTATCTGGTTTCATATGGGTTTAGAAAGGCCGAAACCTTTATTGCCATGCTGGAACCCAAAGTCAATAGGTGAATGCAAGGGTCAACATGATTGCCGGTTCTCAGCCGGATATCACTGAATGACCACCCTCTTCAGCATGAGGCTCATTCCCAAAGCCCTTGTTGATTCCCTATCGAACCACCATGGATGCCGCAAATGTTGCAAGCAGGGGAACAAGGGACATGGTGTTGTGGGTTTGGTTGGTTTACATGCAATATTTAGGGCATCCACTTAGCCACTTGGGGTAGTAACCCCCTAACAACACAGTTAACCCCACCTACAAGTGGGGAAACCAACCACCAAAACCATGGTTGAAGTTTACAGTACAGGAGTTGGAGTTGCCGTGTTTGCATTTTTGGGGGGCATCCGCAGCCAAAAACCACCCGAGGTGAAGCAAACCGGGGGATCTCCGGTGCTATGGCTGGACCCCACTGCAGCGGAGGAGGCGCAGTGTGAGTCCTTGGTGACATTAGCCGTGGACAGCAGCCGCCCTTCGGCGTGGGTTGTGGCATTCGCGTTGTTTGGTGTGTGTGTTTTGAGTTGGCCTCTTTGGTTCGGCATGCTTTGGCTTGATTTTGCTTGGTCTTAGTTTGATTGCTTTGATTTGGTTTTGGTTGGTTTGGTGTTAGTATTTAGTTGGCATGTTGCGGTTTGGTTTTGTTTGGTTTGTTTGTTTGGTTGGTTGGTTGGTTTGGTTTGAATTGCTTGGTTTCTTGGCTTGGTTTGGCTTGACATGTTGTGGCTTGGTTTGATGTTTGTGCTTGCTTTTGGTATGTGTTGGTATGTTTTGGTGTGATTTTGTTTGGTCTGTTTGTTTGGTTGGTTTGTGTGCTTGGTTTGGCTGCATAGTATAGTAGTATGTATGTATGTATGTATGTATGTATGTATGTATGTATGTATGTATGTATGTATGTATGTATGTATGTATGTATGTATGTATGTATGTATGTATGTATGTATGTATGTATGTATGTATGTATGTATGTATGTATGTATGTATGTATGTATGTATGTATGTATGTATGTATGTATGTATGTATGTATGTATGTATGTATGTATGTATGTATGTATGTATGTATGTATGTATGTATGTATGTATGTATGTATGTATGTATGTATGTATGTATGTATGTATGTATGTATGTATGTATGTATGTATGTATGTATGTATGTATGTATGTATGTATGTATGTATGTATGTATGTATGTATGTATGTATGTATGTATGTATGTATGTATGTATGTATGTATGTATGTATGTATGTATGTATGTATGTATGTATGTATGTATGTATGTATGTATGTATGTATGTATGTATGTATGTATGTATGTATGTATGTATGTATGTATGTATGTATGTATGTATGTATGTATGTATGTATGTATGTATGTATGTATGTATGTATGTATGTATGTATGTATGTATGTATGTATGTATGTATGTATGTATGTATGTATGTATGTATGTATGTATGTATGTATGTATGTATGTATGTATGTATGTATGTATGTATGTATGTATGTATGTATGTATGTATGTATGTATGTATGTATGTATGTATGTATGTATGTATGTATGTATGTATATGTATGTATGTATGTATGTATGTATGTATGTATGTATGTATGTATGTATGTATGTATGTATGTATGTATGTATGTATGTATGTATGTATGTATGTATGTATGTATGTATGTATGTATGTATGTATGTATGTATGTATGTATGTATGTATGTATGTATGTATGTATGTATGTATGTATGTATGTATGTATGTATGTATGTATGTATGTATGTATGTATGTATGTATGTATGTATGTATGTATGTATGTATGTATGTATGTATGTATGTATGTATGTATGTATGTATGTATGTATGTATGTATGTATGTATGTATGTATGTATGTATGTATGTATGTATGTATGTATGTATGTATGTATGTATGTATGTATGTATGTATGTATGTATGTATGTATGTATGTATGTATGTATGTATGTATGTATGTATGTATGTATGTATGTATGTATGTATGTATGTATGTATGTATGTATGTATGTATGTATGTATGTATGTATGTATGTATGTATGTATGTATGTATGTATGTATGTAATGTATGTAATGTAATGTAATGTAATGTAATGTAATGTAATGTAATGTAATGTAATGTAATGTAATGTAATGTAATGTATGTATGTATGTAATGTATGTATGTATGTAATGTAATGTATGTATGTATGTATGTATGTATGTATGTATGTATGTATGTATGTATGTATGTATGTATGTATGTATGTATGTATGTATGTATGTATGTATGTATATGTATGTATGTATGTATGTATGTATGTATGTATGTATGTCTGTGTGTGTGGGTATGAGTTTGCGTTGCTTCCTGGTTTGCGGCCCGGGGAAGCAGTGGATTATGCTTGTCCATCAAAGTGACATCTTCACCGTCCCAATGACGGTTTCAAGCGACGCCACATCCAAAAGTACTTTGTAGAAACCCTGCACACGTTCACTTTGGAGGACCCAGATATCAGGTTGAGGAGGAAGAGTAGTCTTTGGTCATTCCTGCTTTGCCCCGTCGGCCAGACTAAACATGGACTAGAATCAGAACAAGATCTTTCATGTGCCCCTGTGTTGGCGTGTTATGTAAGTGGCTAGTAAGAAAGTGAGTACAACCTCCACAGGTGACATGGAGCCATGGCTTAGGTGCCTCGGAGCCGATCTAGGGATCCAGCGAGTCCTGCCTATCGTTTGAAGGCACCCACGTGTTAGAGCCCCAACGGGTCACTCAACTTGCTGCCCGGCAGATACAAACATAGGATCCGCACAGGGGCTCCATTTCCCAACCGAAAAATCGGGTCACCCTACAGCAGGCTTGTGGGACTGAGTGGTTTCTTCCGCTTCTGCGATGTGTTCCCTACTTCTTTTTTGAAGAAACCTATCTCTGCTGGACACATGTTTGGCACAAATTTTGCCAGGGGCACTGCAGCAAATGGAAGAAAGGGAAGGCTTTGGCGTCGTCTTCTTTGGGAGGGATCCACCGGTCGCAAGCGCTCGCAAGCGGCGCCGAGGGAACCAGCTGGTCTCCAACATCTCCTCGGGCGCGGCCTTGGATGCCGCCACCTGGGCCTCCTGCATCGAAGCCGGGGCCAAATCATGCAAGGCGCGGTTGGACGAAAAACGGTTTGACCGGGAAAGGAGAGATGGAGCCCGGCCCCCAAATCGGGGACGGGGGCATATGATACGGCGCATGCGTGGAAACATGCATGAAAGTATTTGTGAGTTTGAATGAAATTGCACGAACATATGTTTATTTGTGGCAAACTGGATGTGTGCCAACCGTGTTTGACGGCATGGTTCTTGCAGAAATAAATGTGTTTCTCTCTTTGCGGTTTGGATCGAAATGGGTCGCTGCGCCAAGCAGAAGTGTCAGACGTGCTTTGCGCGTGACGAGCGTCACTAGTATACAAAAGTTGGCCCCCACAAAGGCACTCCGGAATGCACCTGCTAGGCAAATTCAGATTGCACTCCAAGTTCTTCAAGTGTTTCTCTTCAGATGTTCTTCATGCTTGTGTAAGTGCCTGGGAGATTTTCCTGTTTTCCTCCACGCTGTCGTCCATAGTTCATTCTGGGCAGAGGCGCAAGGGCTATGTGCTGCTTTGAACAAACTGGGCGTATGTCACCACCTTGGAAAGGTGGAGATTGACGTCCAGCGTGTCATCATTTTACAGTTCGAAATAGCGAGTAGGTTTTGCAGAGGTCCTGTAATCGCGAACATATGGTGTTTCCCCCTGTCAATGCTGAAGTGCTTGAGTGAACCATCATGGCTGCTGCAATATCATGTTGGGGTGGGACGGGAAAGCTGCACGTCCTGCATGGTATGCCGGGCCCTTTTCTTCCTTGTGGCCGTGTACGCTTTAAGCGTTTTTTGGGCTTGCGAGTTGTTTTGGTGATTTGATGTGAAAAAGCCGTGGAATCTCAGCCGCTCAGAGGGTCTTGGTGTTTGCTGGAGGTCTGCAGGAAAACATGGTCAACCCAAAAGGGGTTCCCTTTGTCTTACCTGTCACTGGGCAACTGGGTAATGACAGCACTGCTAGGAACCATGCCGTTTGACCTTCAAAGAAAAGGGATCTCTCAGTCAGAGGGTGTCCTTGCTTCGTGGTGGGTCCTCTTATTTTCAGCCTTGTTGAAAAGGAGTCAGAAGGCAAGCTTGCATTTTCCCCCGGTGGTTTGCTTTCAAGCAAGCAGGGAATGGCCAAAGGGAAAACACCGAAATGGAGGACAATTCGCCTCCCGACGGCCAATTTCCTGTCAGGTACTTGAGGCCTTCATGCGTATGAGCCTCCAGAAGCGCCTGGAGACATTCCTGAAGCCCAGCTGAGCCTGTTACCCCATGTGGGGTTATTTGTTGGGCCCGACTTCCTTGTGGCACATTTCGAGTTGCCTCACAAACCCCCAAAATAGGAAACATGCGAGTTGCGGGGTTTGGTCCCTTTCTTTTCGAAGGATCATGTCCGTCTAATTCCGTCTACTTCCCATAGCGGTGACTGGGATCTCACCCTTGGTTTTGCTTGACTCAGCTAGCCGCGCGCGCGTTTTCGCGGAGCTCACCCGTGGGCGGACGGCAAAAGCGGTGGACTCCAAAGGTGGTTGCAGATGAATCCGTCGGCCGCTGATTTTGTTCCGGCGTGTGCAAGTGAGCAGTGCCCCCCAAAGTGTTGTTGGCCATTTTTCTCCCGTGCAAATCAAGCCGGAAACCAACAAGAGGGTGCCCAACAAGAGCTGCAGGAGACTGATACTCGTGGTGGTTCTACCAGGTGTTGTGTTAAACCCTGCCATCTGGTCAAAAGATTTCAATCGGGTCATTTGCTACCTGGCGCCCCCCACAAAGGAATCACTCGGAGCCGGAGCTGCTTCGCTTCAGACGCCTCTACTGTTTGGGGCTGGTCGCTTTTGGTGTCTCGTGTTGCGGTTCGAAACGGCAATCCAAAAAAGAAGCAACAAAGTGGGCGTTCTTCATTCTCCGGCATCATGTTCTTTGTCGCTTAAAGAACTCTACGTGCCATGCACCCTTCCCCGCTGTTACTACAGCCATTGTCTTCCTGAACTGGGGATTGTGAGGCCGTATTTGGGTCTGTCTTGTGTCGAGGCTACATGTTTGTGTCTTTTCTTTTTTTGCGGGGGGGGGAGGGTTAAAGGGATAATCTTTATCTTGGAGGGGTCCCCTAAAACGGACACACCCATCGGCCTGATGCTTGTATTTTTCGGCTCTTCTTTGGCCTCGGAAACCCAGATACGCTCACGTCCATGTCGCGGGTTCGCTTGGACTTCGCTGAGTTGAGCGTTTGGACCGACCATTTCAGTGGGTAACCGAAAGTCCGGACTTGTTCAGCGCAGGATTTACCCTACAGCAACGGGACGGAGTACCGGAATGGTTCACCACACACTAGACTATGGCCATGATCCCCTTAGTGCGTTGGCCGTGAGGTTTCCTGGACAGGCCTTGGTGTCTATCCGGTTCATGTGCTAGGTCATGTTTGACCCTTCTTTACCGCGAGATGGGGTTTTGCTTTAATTTAAAGGCTCTTGAGTTTTCTTTCTGTGGCCAGGTGGCCTGCTCCCTTTCTCAGTGACTTCTAAATCAATCCATAGATAGCCTTCGGGGCAAGTGGGATGTAACTTACGCAATGCATTGCCGCTCTATGGCTTGTTTTTTTTTGAGGGGGGGCGTAGTGGTTTGCAGCGGACAGTTTCTCAGATTGTTGGTTCACTCTCTAGACCCCTTGCTTGCCAAACTGCACCGGGTGTGGAGGAACATCGCGTCCTAGGCACAGTGACAGTGGAGATTTGCAAACTACAGCGCAAATGAGCCCACTGTCCATTTGCCCTCAGTGGGTGCTCGCATGCATATTTGGGCGAATTAGCGAGCTCTCCTCGGGGGTGAAACGAGCTCACACGTTCCTGACTTTCGGATTACCTAGTTCCAGCGTCTTGGCAACCGGTATGGGGGTTCCCCCTACCACAACCACCGAGGAGCTTTAGGGGCGTCAACAGAACCCATTTCGGGGCCCGATATTCCTTCCGAACCCTTAAAGGTATTTCTTTCTTGGATGTTCGGACTTTAACTTTTTGCCAACTAATGGGTTTTCCATTCCACTAAAGTTAAACTTTTAGCGGAGCAGATTTCGCAACCGAGTTCGGGTATGTAAATTGCTTCGGCTATTCGCTTTGGCCACTTGGGCCACTTGCATTGGCCAAAAGCTCAGCATGTCAGGTGCTCCAGGTCTGCGATGAGCTGGGCATCGAAACCGCACCTGCGGAGGCCGTCGACGAGACCGATGGGCGAGTGAGAACGAAGCGCCCGCTGGAAGAGGTTCTTCGAAGGACTTGAAGTTAATAAGATGTTTGGTCGCTGCACCAGATTCCTGTGTCTGTTTCTTGCAATGAACTGGGCATCTCCACTGGTTACACGTTCAGATTCATGTTGACCTGCCAGCCGGCATTAGAGAATCACATTTTTTCTTGATAAGATGTGCGTTAGGATTCGAAGCCGCTACGCTAACTCACACACAGTGATTGGAAGATTTTTCGCAACCACAGAGCTTGTCAAATTCAGGTCCCTTGGTTGCAAGCAACACCATAAACCTTCCGAAGACTGCAAAGAGGCCCGGACTGTTTGGGTATTTGTCATAGGGGACCCTCAAAGTGTCAGTTTCCTTTTTGGTTTCCCTTCTTTTCAACCTGCAGAGGGTACCCTCAACAAAGACCCACAACCCCATTTTTTCGCTGACCAACCGAAACGGGAAATGGGAAAAGTGTTTCACGAATCGGCTTTCGGCCAGGTGGCGGCGGGCGTCTTCGTGCTGCCCATGTTCTCCTGGTGCCCCGTGTCGACTCGTTAAGGTCCGTGACCTTCGTTAGGGGACCCCTAGAATGGTGGTAAAAATAGCGGTTGTCCTTGTGGCTTCTCTCTAAAAAACCAAACAAAAAGGGCAGGTACCCCCTTAACAAAAGACACACACACACACACGTTTTAGATGAGCGAAGGAGTGGGGATTGCCACGGGCTAGGCGTTTTGTATGGGGGGAAGGAATTGGGAGCCGCAACAAGTTTGTGCTGATATACTAGCCACAGGGTTCTAAACCATGCTGTCTCTCAAATACCCAGTGACAGCGAGGGGTGAGAAGTACTAAGTAGTCAACCTTGGTTGATCTTGATCATTTTAGAGAGGATTCAGACAACTTGGGAGATGCACCGCCTACCTATACCCGCTAGGTTATTCTTCCGGGTTTGACTGATTTATTAACAGCTTTGCATGCAACCGTCAGTGGGTTGTTTGCTTTGGCTTTTGCCAGTCCCATTATGTTGGGGGGATTCTGGTTCGTTGTGGCGCGGCCACACGTACCCGGAAGCAGCTGCCTGAATTCTGAAACTTGAATTCGCATGGCTGCCTTAAAGCTGGCTTGACTGTCAAGGCTGGACTCCGACTGCTCTTCGGACACTTGGGTTTTGGACATGGGAAGCAGCCGGGTGCTTGAAACTGACATGTCTTTTTAGGCCTTTGGAGTTTGGAGAGAACAAATCGTGCCGAGTGCCAGTTCCTCCCATGCCCATGAAACTGTGGAGAGTCAAGTGGCCTCACCGACCGATCCGACTCGCGATCTCGCTGATGAACCTTTTCCGAGGGACCCTTGCTTTGAGCGTGTATGATGCGCCGAGTAATTTTCCTATGATTATTGATTTCCCTGCCCTGCTCAAAGTATATAGTATGATGCAGAAATCCCTGACTGCCATCATCATAAACCTGAAATTGGATCTGTTTGCCTAACGTGTGGCAAGCGTACCTGGGAGTAAAAGGAGCTCGCCATGATGGGAGGATTCCTTAGTTCAGATTCTTCTCAAAACGTGGATGGACAAAAGCCTGCACCAGTGGGGATGGCTAAGACTCTGCGAACACTGTTAGAAACAACCCGCCAACCGGTGTGAAGTCTGGATTTAGTGCTTCCACAGAATTCAGAATTCTTGAATGGGAAGATCTACGTCGGTCTGTGTGGTTTCCGTTGCCTTGTGGTTCACTTTGAACCAACCTGAAAAAAGTGTGTGTCTTTATTGGGGCACCCTTTTTGGATTGGTCTTTTTCAGGGAACTGACCAGGAAACCAAATTCCTTCTCTGAGGGTCCACATACCTCTTCTTTTTGAGGGTACTTCCCCTTTTTCGTTTTTTTTTTTGGAAAGCTCAAAGGACATCCACCATTTTTGGGGGGGTCCACTCCACAACAAGACACGCGTGTGTCTTGTTTTTGAGTGTGTGTGTGTGTGTGTGTGTGTGTTTGTTTTTGTGTGTGTGTGTGTTCTTTTTTGGGGGGGTCCCAAGTCATTTTGAGCGCCCGAGGTACTCCCGAGAGTTCATCTCCAAAGCGCTGCGACAGCAGCACGCCTCCGCCAGCGATGCCGATGCCAAGGCTGAAGCCCAACCCCCCCCCCTCCCCCCGCCGGGCTCGGGCGCTTCGCACGGAGTCCTTGGTAGTTCTTTTTCGGAGGGGGGGGTGTCCTGAGAAAAAAGAGAGAAAAAAAGCTGCCAAAAAACAGAGTGGGATTTGTTTCCCATGGACATCCGGGTTGGTGACCCTGACTTCCAGTGAGCCCAGTTGTGTCTCCGGTATTTCAGGAACGATTTGGTTTCAACATGTTTACACCGGATGGCCCTAGCCGGCCTACTTTGTAAGATCCCGCAGGGTTGTGGAAGTTGACCGATTTCATCCCCATTACATCCTGCCTCGGGTTACCATTCTAGGAGTGATTTGAAAGGGGGCAATTGGTTGTGACCTTAGAGGGTTGACGCGACGGTATGATTTGGGAGTTCCTGATTTAGAGACAACCCCCCAATTTCCTCCCATGTCTGGTTCTGTCTTTGAGCGAACCTAAGCAACAGAACCTTTTGGGGGAGGTATGTGGTTCTGGGGATCTTCCAACGGTCCAAGGAGACCATGCAAGTAGGACCCTATCTTGAGTCTGTCTCTTTTTTTGAGGCTGCATCCCAAAGGAAGCCAATTAATATTTGAGAAAAGTTATTTCGCAAGGTTTGGCCCAGCTCATCGACAGCCACAGCCATTCAAGAAGTTGGCATGTGGTCGGTGCCCTCCTGACAATTTGTCTGTGCCGAGTCAAGCCAAACCTGTCAGATTCTCCAAATGGCTGTGGCTCAAAATTAAACATTTTGGTCCATGTTTCCACTTAACAGGCGTCCATTTTGGGTACCGCCAAATGACCTCCGACCATTTCCCCCAAGGCTCGGGCTTCGGGATCGAGCCGGTCGGACTGCGGAGGTGACCATCGATCAATGGATCCAGTGGCCTTTTCCCTGCGGCTCCGACGACGCCTGGAAGTTCTTCATGAGGCGCGCAAGTCGATGGGGAAAAAAACAGAGAGCAAACTTGATGATGGCTGGGTAGAAGCAAGTTTCGTCACGAGGGGCATCTACCCTCCCACCAACATGACGCACCCTGTGGGAGGATAATGACCTGGAAGATCAATTTCCTCAAGGGACCCTCTGCAAGGTGCCGCGGCAACTGGGAGAGAGGGTAGTAGTGCGCCGCACTGCCCCTCTTGAATAACATTTAAGTGAAACACGGCAGGAGTCTCCTTGTGCCTCGACAAAAGATGGATGTCCTCGAAATTCTGGGTAGTGTTGACCCAAATTGGTTATCTTCGTGGTTCTGTCTGTGTGTGTGCCCCCCCTCCCCAAAGAGTCAGATGCGTTTCCTCAAGGTATCCCCTAGGTACCGTGGTGGGAGGGTGTAAGGGCCACTTTGCAACCCTGCAGGGTTCCGAGGCTCGGGGAATGGCGCGGGCGAAGTTCGAGGCGTTAAACAGGCACCTCGAAACCAAGCATGTAAACGTGCATCCCCACTGGAAGCTCAACGTGGCTGAGAAAATCGTTTTGGGGTCCCTTCTGGAAGCCTCGTCAAGCACCCCCCCAGGATAGCGTATGGCCCCAAGACATGGGCTTGTCTTTTTGTTGATACCCTTTTTGGGGTTTGAAGGGAGACGCAAAGGTGAAGCCACTCATTTTTGGAGTTCCCTAGTATGACACAAACCCACCCTAAGATCCCATGGCCTTAGTGGGTTTAGGGTTTAGGGTTTAGGGTTTAGATATGAGGTCCTTTGACCCCACAGCACCTCAAAGGGTGGGTCCTGGGACCCTCGCGCCACGTGATCAGGTTGAGGGAACGTAGGGAATTCCAGGCAGGGTCCATTGAAAAGGCCCCCCCCAAAGGTTCAAGGGCCCAAAAAACTTGTGACAAATGACAAATCCAAGCAAGTGCTTTTAGCTCGGAAAGGCCCAATAAACTTTTTTGACAAATCCAAGCAAGTGCTCTATAGGTTCTAAAATGGGTGGTGAATCCACCTTCCCACCAAAAATGGGATCCCAAAACGGTTTTCACTACAGTTGTTCAGTGGCACTTCCGATTTTTTTCTTGGTGGCTGCCCCATTAAAAAGGGGCCTTCCCCAAAAAGGTTTCCCTTTTTGTTTTCCAGGGTCACTGAGCATCCGGTCAGGATGAACGAGGCCTCGCTGCGAGCCACTCTGGTGGCCAAGACGACCTTCGAGCGCTCGGGGGCCCAAGCGCTTCCCCAAACAGCCCCTTTTTGGGTGGTTGGACAATTCAACTTTTGTTGAAGCATATCGTGTTGTTTTCTTTGGGAGAGGGGGGGCCTAAAACAAGATACACCACATGATGGTTTCGCCTGATTGCCTGCTGCAAGGGTAACTGCAAGCACGGGCTAGGGATACCTGTTCCCTTCTTTCCAGGACTCCTTCTAGAAAACCGGCACAAACCCATGCAAGGGCTTTTGAAAACAACGGTGGTTGAACATAATTAATACATCCCTATGTTTGAGACTTGGGCCTTTCTGTTGTGTTCAAAAGACGGCCACTTGAGGGAGGTGCTCCTATTTTGAGAGGAAGCCAAACATGTTGGGGGCTCTCCAGTTTAGAGGCAAACCCAGTTGAAATCTCCGTAGTTGAAGCCCCGAACAAGCAGCGTGGGGCAGAATTGGTTCCCCGAGACCCCGGCCCTGTCAAAACATGAAGAAGGAAGCGTGCGTAAGTCCTCTTGGATTATCTTGGACTCGCCTTTGAGTGACTTGCAGACGTAGCTTTTCCTTGACCTTATTTTGGGGCCTTTGATGGAAAGCTGCGTTGCGCAACATCATGGTGAAGTGAGGCGTTTGACCAGTGTTTTCTGCGATAGCCTCGCGGGAACAACCTTCAAGAAGAATTGGAATTCATCAAAGGGAGCCATGTTCCACAGGCTCATGTTGGAAGCCAGATGTCAATTGAACCCCGCGTTGGATTCCAAATCAGTTTTAGGGGAGCCTCCGAGGGGGGTTCCTTTAATTTTGCGGGGGAGTACTGCTTACCAAAGACGAGGGTTTTATGGAGGTTTTAGTTTTGCTGGCATGGGCTGACAGATCCGTTTGGCGTCTGGGAGCAGCATTCTGTGGAGCATCGGATTTAGGCCCAGTTCCTACGATATGGGTGGCTCAAACTAAAGAGGTAGGGTTACGCAGGCTTTAGTAGTTGGTTCCATTTTCCAGGTCAAGGTGCCATTTTGATACTTTGTTTCGAGCCACTGCCAAACCTCCTTTCAATTGACAAAAGCAGGCATAAGGATGGCCCAGTTTGGTATCACAGGCGAATGCTGATGTTCTTTGGGGGGAGTGTAAGAGTAGTATTTGGTGTATGGACAATTGCGGCTTGAAAAGGGAAAGCAGTGGGGCTGGATCTGGCCATGCTACTGTGGATGGACCAAATCCTGCACCACTTTGAAACCATGGGAAAATCTTTATTTGTTGGTATGTACAGAGGAATCATCATTCCAGGGTGTTTTGGGTGCAAGATTTCGTCCATTCACAGTATGTCTGTTTATTTGCTTTGTTGGTGCTTGGTGAAAGCCAGTGCGTCAATGCAGCACAGCAACACTAAGCCGTTCTAGTGTCGCCTGCGGGTTCGTCCGCTCAAGCAATGGGAGGTCTTTGACGCTGGCGAATGGTTGCCCTCCTGTCCCTGTTCGGAAGAAAACGTTCCCCCACAAAATCAGGTCCTAAGTGGAAACATGTCCTTACAAACCTTTGTGTTCCAATGGCGGGATCCCTAGTTACTCACTTCCCCAGCATCTTGACCTTTCTATTGCGTTTTTGTGTAGATATTTGTTGTGGTAAGCATGAGTCTTGTTGAAGCAAACACTAAACGTTTGTCGAATCCACGGAAGTAAGGTGACACATCTGGATAACTGGGGCTGTGGGTCAAAGCCGTGATTCTCACAACCTAAGCCGAGTGCCGAGGCTTTTGTGACCAGCCTGCTCAAGTCCTCACGATGTCAGACTCTGAGCAGGGGGGGTTTGCTTGTTGGTTTAAACATCACCTGAGCCACAATCCAAACACGGGTTTCTCAAGGTTGGGGAAAGTCCAACCCCAAGAATTGGTCCGGACATCCGCCCTTCTGATTCTTTGCAGGGTCGCAGGATGTCGCAGCTTTCAGTCGTGTCAAAGGCCGCCACAAAGCGACGGTGTCAACCCTCTTCGTGGAAAATAAGGGGACCCCAAACAATTTGTAGATCCCCCATAGCACCCCTTTACTTCGCCAAACGATTGAGCCATATCTCGTACTGAGAACCAGCAAGCTGGTTTGTTTCTGCCCTGCTTTGGGACGTGGGAACGAGGGGCTGGCTTGAGTCACTACACCATGTGAAGACTTTGTCATTGGGATGGCGGTTTTTTCCAGCACAGAGTGCAATTTCCATAACCCAGCGGACGCCTGTAAAGCTGGTAGCCAAGCAATCACCCTTCAAAAAATAGGCACCACGGCTGCTGACAGGGTCCCCTGTATTTGCCGCGGTTTCAAATGTTGCCTTTTGGACCAGATCAAAGTGAATCTCCGGGTCAGGCAAAGTTTAAAGGGGACACATGGGTATTTTCTTAGGGGATCCCCAAAAACGTGGTTTTCCTTTTGAATCCCCTTTAACCCAACCTGAACAAACTCTCAAGAAACAAATGCTAGGAGAGACACCTGGGATTGACTGGGCCTTGCCAAAGATGGGCAATTTTCTGTACCAAGACAACCCACTATGAGAACCTAGGGACGCCAATCACTTTGGTACAGAGGAGCCTCTTTTCTGCCGACTTGGCTTGCCTTTTCCACTGTTCGCCTTTCAACCAGCAAGTTCACTGAGGCTCTTTCTGTCTGGCCCTTCCACCATGTGCCGGCTTTTGAATGCATGATGTGTCGATTTTTGAGGGAACTTCAATAAGTAGTTTCCGTTTGGTTTCCTTTGCACCCGCCCCCAATAAGGGTGCCATCAAAAAACGACGAGCCACCCAGCTGTGTTTTCTGGCAAGACGGTTCGCTGCCAAGGACCCACTTCCTCACAAGGCCGGAGCTGTCTTTTGCCCGAAGCTTACTGGGATCGAGCCGCGAGACGCGTGCGCACGCGGGAGACGGGACCAATGACAAGTTTCAGTGACGGAGGGCCCCGGTGCTTCAAGGTAGGCACTAGCAGATGATACATGAAGAAGTCACAGCTTGCCAAACGGGCGGTTTGGGAACACCGGTGTCTCAAAAGAAGCTGTTGTTTTTTTCGGCTTTTTCTGCCGTCTCAAGCGAATGAGGACTGGACCGTCCCCGGGATTTGGGACCACATCGGCTGTGAAGGCCTGGATGAACAGGCGCGACCTTGAGCTGGATCCATGACCTGGTTCAATGGGTATATACTAACGGTATACTACCTCCTCCAGTAGTGCCTTCTCTCCCCTTTTTTGGGGGAGGGTTCCCCTACTAAAATAGACTGCAGAAAAAAAGGTACCTTTATTTTTACCTCTCTACTGGAGGACCTAGTATATGTTCCCTGGTGGCAAAAGAGGTTTGGAGGTGGTGGAAACCATCTTACAGGAGTAGAGGTCAATTGACAACGACCCAGTGATATTCTCTCACACATGGCCACAGGCAAGGAGTCCCTTGAATTTGGTTTGCCATCGAACCCGCTGGCATCAGATTGCCAACAACCACTTTTAGAGGTCCATCAAGCATTAGCCTCATCCACTGCTGATGGTCATCAGTTAGTGTTTTGTTCATAGGGCTAGCTTACCCATCGAGGGCTGAAATGAGTGATTCCATGAGATACATTCGATACATTCAATGTAATGGAAATTCACGTCGGGTGTTTGTTTTACCACAAGGAAAGTCGTCTTCTCGCATCTTCTGATCAGCTTCCATTGAAGTAAAGTTTGTGGCTCTAGCCACCTTTGCGTACGGCTAGGTGTAGTGCGGAACCCGTTTGGGGGTAAATATGTTCAGGTTGATGTTTTCAGATGCCCATCTGACTTTGGGACAGCGACTTCGTTGTGGGTTTTGCTTGCCACCTTATAAGGATGTTTTGTCTCGGGCAGGGGTTCCTGTTCAGATTGGTGGTTCCTTGTGAGTCACCCAGATATGTGTAGATCTCCACTAGGGGTAAACGGGTTGCCAACCATTGTTTGAAGCATTTCGGGGAGCAGCTCCTCTGACTCTTCGACTGGTCCTTTTTGTGGTTTTGCTCTTTTGCAGGCCCCGCTGTAAGCGGGAATCAAGCACCACCTTACGTCTATCATATGTTTGAATACCCAGTTGTTCAGAGGCCTTATTGTTTGGTATGTTTCTCACTCAAAAAGATCAGTTTCGAACAACTCACTCACTGAGCTGGAATTTTGTTTTGTGGGACGACCATTCTAAAACATGGTTGTCGTTGTGAAACATTTTACATTTGTGCTTATTCTGGTTTAGTGGGAAATCCCTACTTAACTGCTAAAATTTATTGTTTTGCTCCCCAAACCCAACGTCAACCAAGAAAAGGTGAGACTTTGGCTAATCCACTTGAGCAGTGAGTTTCTTGATGCTCAGATCCGGACCATCGGCTCGGACGTCCACGTCTACGGCCGCCCGCCATGAAGGATCCAAGCTTCACTGACGTCCCAGAGTAGCCGTGGGAGGACAAATCATTTCTTTAGCTTGTGTTGCTCAGCTTGGTGAGAAGAGGAGTATGTGTTGTTTTTTTTTCCCCCTTGGAAGTAGGACGACTTCAAATTTTCCTGGAATCCTGGAGCTAAATGACACCATGAGTGGCCAACAGGACCCGGCCATCGGCCTAGCTTGGCTTTTCAGGTGGTGCTTTAGGCGTGCGGGATGAGCCAATGTTTGTGGGAATGCCAAACAAGGGGAGGGTTGCAAAGGCAGACACGTGAAGCAAGCCATTTGGAGAGATCCCTCATTTCGACACAGGCGCATGGGCTGTACAGTTTGCGCACTTTGGCAAGATGATGCACTCTATTGCCCATGCAGTGATGCACTTGTTGCCTTTTTTTGGCCAAGGGTTCCCCTTTAAACTCAACCAACAACAGAAGGGTGCCCTTTGTTTCTCATGGCCACTGGGCATCTGAGCGATCTGAGTGCATGCATCATCGTCATTTCTGCGCTCAGGTCGTGCCTGTATGGGCCGGCAGGCAGGAGAATCAAGCCACCCTTTAGTTGGTCTTGAAGGCGAGCCAAAAGGAAACACCTTCTGATTTTGTCAAGTCAGTTTCCTTGTTTGGAGACACTTTCCCAGTTCTCTGAGGGAGGAGGGCCTTGCTTGACTGGGCATATGCGTGAAGAAACAAAAGAAAGAGTTTCGGTGGAACAGCACCCGTGGGGTTCAAAGAACCCTGAAAATACATGGGGCTAATAAAACCACCGTTCTTTCCCTAAAGATTGTCATCCTCCAAATTGGGTCAAACATTCTTTCCTTGTTGAACCTTAGGGGCACCTTGTGTCCAACTTGGATTCCTTCTCCCCCCATCTTACCGCCACGGGTTGGCATGTAGTTTCCGGGCCGTCGGGGGTTGTACCGGCCAAAGAAAGGGAACCCAAAAGGTGCCGGAGACTTAGGATGCGATTTTCACATTTTACCAGTGACTCCGAGGGAAGCAAGCAACAAAATATACGTTCTATAAGAAGGCCTAACTCTGATGGGTGGATCGAGCAAAAGTGAGCGACGTGTTCAAAGAGTCTGAGCTGACTGACGGGAAGTGTGCTGCAGGTACATGAGATTGAAGGCTGGCCCGGCAAACGTGGGTGCGGTTCCGATTGGACAGGGCTCCCCAAATTCATCTTGGGCTCGACCTCAGCTGTTGGGTCATTTTGACATGTTTGGTCTGGGTGGAGTGATGTTGAAAGTGGACAGACAAGGACCCACCATGATTGTTTTGCAGGGGAATCGCACAGAGCGCTTGTCGCAGCGGTCGTAGTTAGTCCGAGTTCTCCTCGTGGCAGTAAATCTGTTGAGCATTGCGCACCTGCATATCAATGCCGATGCAGTTTGCCTTTCCTGTTTCGGCGTTGCAAGGCCCCTGAGAACCAGGAATCAATGTGGAGTGGTTGTGGGTGGGGTTGGCTAAGGGCAGGTTAAGGGTTGCTTAAGGATTGGTGTAGGGTTGGTTGAGGGTTGGTCAGTTTGGAGCGTTTTCGAGGGGAAGGCCCGTTTGTTCTGCTTTTCGGGGGAGGCCGCACGGAAGGAAGCCACCCTTTTGGGGGGGTCCCCATAATTAAGAGAGGCAACCCCCATATGCAGCACGCGCCTTTCGTTTCCCTAACGTGTTTTTGACCAGCGCCGCTTCGCTACTCAAAGCCTCATATGGACCCATACGAAGTTCAGTCGTTGAGAGAGACAAGGGGGACTCTCGAAATGTCTTTTTGGGATATCTTTATTATGAGAAAGAAAAGGGTTCCTGAGAGTTCCTCTTCAATATCAGTTTGATATTTACACCACAAAAGGGACATGTACTCCTGCAACCTTCCTGAGGGGGTCTATTTCCCGAAAGGAGATTCCTCTCGAGGACACACGCTTTTGACCAGACCGTGCTTGCTTCATCAAGTAGATATGCTTCCCCAAGCTCGGCCCCACGATCCCCAATTCAAAGAGACATGAGACCTTTGGCCAGGTGTGACCTATGTGCACAACTACATCGGCACCACCGACCAGCCCGAGACTTGGGACATTTACCGAAGCCAAGGGTGTCGCGCGCAAACAAAGGCCGCGAGCGCATGGCCTCGCAAAGCGCTCGCAACACAAGAGTCTCAAGGTAAGCATGGGTGGCTTGCCTTTTCGGGGTGGTTTAAAGGGAAAGGCCAAAAGGAAAGCCAACCTTTTTGGGCGCCGCTATTTTGACATACCCGCCAAGAGCTCCAAACACTCCGGTTTGATCTTAGCCGCACTTTGTCTCCCATGAACCGAAGGCCTCCCAAAAAAGCAAAGGAATCCACCGATCTGAGGGAAGCCTCGAATTTCGGTTTCTCTCCAACAGGGGGAGGCCCCCTAGTAAAGCTCGCTTAGCCCGTCGCCACTCAGCCCCGGCCAGGCATCGTCCTGGCATGGCGCCGTTTTGTATCTTCGACGGCCAGGCACGGTACTTGGCGAGTGTTGGCGAGTGTTGGCGAGTGACAAATCGGGGGACCGATCTGCACGGCTGTTCCGATCGCTGGCACCCAAGGAGAGTCATGTGTCTAGCACAATAAAAACCATTGGTTGGAGCCCTTTTACCGTGACCCGCTGGGTATGTGGGATTCTAGGATCCCCCAACTCCGAAAGGAGGAGAAATCAACAAGCCATTTGATAGCCGTTGGGTGCTACTGGCGTGTGGTGATAGCCTTTTTTGAGGGCACCCCTTTGAAATCACAGCACCCTTGAAGAGCCGTCCTCAAAAAAGGTCCGTGGTGGATTCCTCACATTGGGTGTTACCGAAATGTTGATCATGGGGAACATGTCAAAGTCAACATGGTGAGGGGCGACATTGAGGTCCGCCCCTTTGGGCTTTGTCTGAGTCGAAGGAAATCTGCGGTGTGAGATTTTTTGGGACCCCCCTTTTTTGGGATTTAAAGCGAAGCCATCAGGAACAACGAAGCCGTTTTGGGAGGTATCCTAAAGTCAGACACACCCATATGACCCAAGCTCAGTGACAAAGGCGCAAAGACGTTGGCCTTGGGTGTCCTGCTCCTTTTCAGCATCTTGGAGTTTTCCTCTGACATTTCGCAAAGGCCAATTCAATGTCACCCTCCTTTTTATGTGTTGTTGATATGTTGTGTTTCGAAGTCTAGCGTATCAAAGACCACTTTCTGGGGACAGGATCAAAGTCAGCTTCCATTTGAAGCTCCTGCTTGTGATCTGTTCAGACCCCAGAGCCCAGTTGTCTGTCACAGTATTGTCCCTTCTGGATTGGCGGGTTCCCACTAAAGTGGTCTGGCCCCAAAATGATGTGGTTCCCTTTCCCTTTTTGGGGTGCTTCACTGAAAATCTTTGTGGTGGCTATGGGTGGTTCACCTTGTGGCTGTTTTGGCGGCGATTCCTCTCTTGAGGGTACCCTGTGCGGTTTAAGGGGAAACCAAAAGAAAGCCGTTGCCATGGGGGTTTTCCTGTTTTGACAACCCATGTGGCTCATGTTTTTCCGAGCCAGGGGACCGCAGGTTTTAGCCTTTCTACCAGTGTTTGTATTTTTCTTGTTTAACGTTGGGCAACACAATTGCTGAGACACACATTTGCAGGGTTCCACTTTTTGACTACCCTGGGGTAGACAGAAAGTGCGCTGAGACACCCATTTGGCCACGGGTCAAAAGCCCGTACCCCCAGTGAACATCCCAATCCCCACTAAAATAGGTTCTAAATGGGTGAATT